CAAATCACAAATTTTATATATCACTAATTATTTTAATGTCACAATTCAAAAAATGTACAAGTCACAATTTGTTCATTGGTCACAAATCAAAAATTGAAACGTCACAATTTTTGTATAGGTCACAAGTCACAAATATTATAAGTCACAAATTATCGGTCACAAATTAATAATTTTTAAGTCACATATTATTTTTTTTATCACAATTTATCTTTTCATTTGTCACGATTTATTTATTGGTTACATTAATCAATTTAAGTGTAACAAACAACCAAAATAATCTGTGACCACCATCAACACTTGTGACTACCACCTCATCACTGTGACCAATATCATGGCAATCGAAACCCGTCATCGAAACCACCACATCCACCCCATCCTACAACCCAAAAAAATCTCCAACCCTACCATTATCGTCGCCGACCACCTCCAACAAATCTTCAACTTCAATTCCATCAACACGACCACCAACAAAACCACTGTCACCACCGCACTAACAAGATCCAACAGTCGCTCAAACACCAGATCGCTCACCAAAAATTAAGAGCTCAGGGCTCACTACAAATCGTTCCATTTCCTCACTGACGTAGACCAGCAGGTGACCTTGGGGCACTTCGCCGAACTTCTTTAAGAAAGATTCCAATGACGAGTCCTCGCCGCCTTGAGGAGGAGGAGAGGAGAAGGCTCCCATGGAAGAGGATAGCAAGTTAGGAGAGGTAGTGGAGGAAATTAGTAAACTAGACCACAAAAATGTCGGATACATCTACTCCTCCGCCGTTACCGCCGGTGAAGATGGTGGAGATAGAAGGGAAGGGCGGAGCACTAGTTACTTCTCAGCAGCTAATAGCTGGATAGATTGTCCTCAGAGATTCCCCTATCCTACTCTATTCTGCTGCTCCTCTTCTAAATCACGACAACAAATATTGCTCCCACTATTTCAGAACAATATTTTCGCCTGCGGTGGTGGTTTCTTGCCCCTAGTGCTCTTCTGCTTCACTCTTCTGCAGCCCCGATTGCCGATCCATCGCTCTATCCTCTTCCCACACCCAATGGGTCTGCCAGGCCCTCAGCTGCCTTCAAGAAGTCAATTATCCTGTTGCGTGGAGGATCTGCCGGCGGAGAGCGAGATTGGTGAGTGGATAAGACAGAGTGACGGAGATGAGAGAAGGTAGAGAGGGTGAGAAGAGAGAGAGAAGAGATAAGTATGAGGAAATTTAAAATGAAATTGATTAGGATTTGTGATGAAAATTGTAAAATTAATATTTAATATTTAAAATAAAATGTCCGATTTTTTAAAAGTTAAACATTTAATCTGATTTTTGAAATTAATTTTTTAAAAATCTAGTTTTGTGTAATTTATAGTCCTTTTAATGGTTTCCTTTTTTTTGCATAAGGATCAAACAGATTGTCACTGATCCATATTGGCCCAAAGTGTCTCAATCAACAATTTTTCTTTTGGCCGAGCACCAGAAGAGACCCCTTGGATTTTGGCTTGTTTATACGGAAATTAATGTCAATAGCCATGTGATAAAAAACGATTTCTTGCAGTTTTTTTATTTAAAGTTTTTAAGTAAGAGCAGTGCTATATAGCATTAGCACTGTGTGAGTGATAGTGAGATAATTGCTTACAATTGGTTAAAATAAAATAAAAAATTATTAATCACTAATTGTCAATTGTAGACATTGTGGATTAAATTTTAATTTTATAATATTATTATTAAAATTTAAAAAATGAATTAACCCCTAATTTGTGAAAAGAAAAGTTTTAAGATTTGATATTTGAAAGGGAAAATTACAGTTACGGTACCAAATCTTTCAACTTTTTGCAGACTTTGCCCAAACCTTTGTTTTGTGTCACCCACGGTACCAAACCTTTAAACATTTTGCACCCAGAGTCCAAATGGACGGTTTCCGTCCAGTTGACTACGAAAATCGTTAGTTGACCTCAGAAAAAAATTATAATTTCCACCAAA